GTTGCACTATGTACGAATTCGTATGCCGATTGGCGAATTTGGTTGCCCTAAAGCGATTATGAATGCCAATTGGCCATTTTGGCTGCACTATAGCGAATTTGAATGCCGATTGGTGATTTTGGCTGCCCTATCCGCGAAATTGAATGACCTATTTATACTTTCTCATGCACTATGTGCGAAATTGAATGACCTATCTTTACTTTTGCATGCACTAAGTGCGAAATTGGACGGGAAAACCTATATTAGATTTTACATCCAGAAGTAGATCTTGCCTCGATCGACAGGTTGCAAAGAAAGGCAGTGCACTTTTCTTAAAAACAAAACGTTGATTCTTCTTGATCCAGGACAAATTAAACAGTGATTAAAGATCGGAAGGATATCTCTTTACTCAATTCATCAAAGAGGGCGGTGTGGCAGCTCTCTAAGTGACAGCCAGATATGAAGCTTATTGCCTTTTTTCTCACTCATTATTTTCTAATTCAAGCTTTCATCCAATCAAAATCATCCGATTCTGAGTCAAAAGATGCTGACTTCAGTGCAGGATATCACTCTGTGCATCAGAACCAGGTACTCGAGTACCCAACCGCTTATGTCAGGAACCGGTTCCAGATGGTGGAATCGAGTACCTGTAACCAACTGTACATTTTAATTAGTAAATTGTCCAAAAATGAAAAAGAAGTTTTTCCCATGGTGGGTGTGAAACACGTGCCGCTTCTTATGGTGAGTGGGTGGGTAGGGTTAATGGCGGACACTCCACTCGGCCATATATTGTATTCATGCAACTCGAGTATTGCAGCTTTGCGTTTGCAAAAACTGATTCACACGCGTCTAATTTGCATATTTTTGCATATTAGACCACGCCCCATTGGTTTTCATTTTCTGTATGAGCTGACTTGTATGTTGCTGCATTGACGCACTGGTGTGGCAGTATTGTCCTGCGGACCTTTGTGAACAATCTGGGCCCGATTTCATAGCACTGCTAAGCACATTATTGCTTGCTAACAACCACCATCATTGGGCGGCCGCAACCGAGATGGATGCAACCAAACTCTTCCAGACTCTCTTGTCCACCATGGCCGTGGTGATGTCATCAACGTGCTGGCTCACATCACTGCATACAGTGTCAAATCCTCCATCTGTTTCATGGAAACCATAAGCAGTAAGCACAGCAAAAGCATGCTTACTTCAGAGGAAAAAGTGGCTTAAAGTAGTGATGTAACAATAGATTTCTATTGTTACATCACTACTTTAAGCCATGCATGCGCATTCGTTAGCACATAAACGCAATAAAATAGTACTTAAGGTTAGCACAAGTTTCTGCTATAGTAAGCATAACTTTCTGCTAACTCTTAAGCAGCGCCATGAAATTGACACTAGATTTGGGATTTTTTCCTAATAGATTTAACAAGCAATTTTACTCCACTACCTGCATCTGATTATCGAATGAGATTTATCTAAGCATCAGTAACATTGATGAGTTTTTGAGCTTGAGCCCTAACCACCTTAGATTAAGATTCCATTCCGAGATGGAAAGTTTTTTCTGTTTTGTCAAGCGTTTTCCTCGTGTAACATGTCAATTTACATAAAATGTTCTTTTTTTAAATGATGTAGTCATTTATTCAAGTTTAACAGATTGAAGTCAATTTGGTGAGCAGCTGGTTATTTTTTGGGTTTTTTCGGTTACGTGCCTTGCGAATTTATTCTATTGCATGAGTTAGTCTGTGACGATTACTGCTACAGACATGCATGCATTTCATGACATCAACTTGTACAGAAAAAAATAATAAAATGTAAAATAAAAACAAGTAAGAAAAAAAAAAGAGTACGGAGAGCACGAAATTAGACTTCTTGTTAGGTCTGAGAGGCAGTTATTTCTCTTTGGTTGAGATTTTTGAGAATTTTAAACAAAAATTAAAGATTTCAAATGTGTGTTTCAAGGAGACCCGTTATTCTGAAATAATTGAACTTGATGAAGGCTGCTCCGAAGGAAAGAATGACAAAAAAAAACCAAGTTACGTTAAAAAATCAATGAGATTGAGAAGTTGAATTTGTTGGGGTCTCCAACTCTCCATCCATCTATGTCAGTTGTTTGAATTTGGATAAATGTGCATGAAATTCCATTTGCTTGTGAAAGTATTGGAAAATCACACTATGTCATATTTCTCATGTTTGGTTAATGAAGTGTGTGTTCCACAGAAATTTCGTTTCGAATTTTGTAAATCTTTTGTTTAGATGTGTAATGTATTTGTTTTTAACTTTTTGTAAAAAAAAAAAACCTCTGTAATAATGACATGTATAACCAAATGCATGGGTTAGAGTTGTGTCAAATGCAACTGACTATTTTGTCGCAGAAAAATATATTATTTGCCATCCAGGAAAATATGCTAAGCCTTGGGATGAGTCAAGCACTAGGACAAGCGAGCTATGTACAGCTCCAAAAATTAGTTTGTAAAAATTTGAATGATTTTATGTTCGGGCATCATTTAAAGAAACTTTAAAAAGGTTCTTAAGTCGTTAAAACAAAGGTGTACATATGAATAACTTGTTCGGTTTTATCCCTCACCCCAAAATGTAAAAAAAAAAGAGTAAAAAAGAATAAAGCCGTAAGCTTGTGCCACCAGATAGTTCATCCTTTGATGGAAATAAAACAATGTTTGTAGCAAAAAAAAAACTGACTTGTTGCAAAATGTTTGTCTTGCGGTTCAATTTAACGTATTATTCTCTTTTACTCATTTTTCTGTTAAAAATATTTTGAAGGAAATAAATGTGTGCTTTGCCAGGGTGACCAGATGACGATCGCACAATTCTCCTGGATGCACTTCAAAATGCTCCTAGACTGTTTTTTTTTATCCGTCAGACCTAGCAGTAAATCTGCTAAACGGTCACCTTGGTTTGGCCGGTTTTAATCACCATGTTTAAGACCAGTTTGGCGTCTGAAAGCTGATGGCTGGGGTCCAGACTCCAAACCGGTCTTAAACATGGTGTTTAATACCGGCCCACCACACATTTATTCCCATTCAAAAATACCTTTTCTGTCAAAAAAAATCACCATGTTCGGTCCAAATGTCAACACAAGTCAAAAAACATAAAGTTCCAACGATTTTGTTCAACCATTTTACTTCATGTTTTTCATAATGCCCCTCTAGCTATGTAAACAATTCTTTATGTGAAAATTGGCGCGAGCGTCGCGCGTACTGCGAGAGTGACGCAGAACGCAGCTGTGCCGGTGCGGTGCGGTGTAAATATAGGACTATGAAAAACTGACTCACTTGTAGTATAATGCCTACGACGGTGAGGATTGTGAACGTTCAACCAATAAAACGGTAAAAGGCACCGGACTTCAAATGAGTCCAAATTTCATGTGACACAAGAAAAGAGTTTAAGCCCAGCCAGCCGGTGTTTTATCAACTGTTTAATACAGGTCACGTGACAGGCTTTCGACCAATGGGAATGGGTAAACTGTCTTAGGTATTTATGAATTGTGTTAAATATAGAAGTTTCCGAAGGGGGGGGGGTTGACGATTTCTTGCCACATTGTCAGACAATACCAAAATAATATAGGTTCAAATTTACTCGAAAAGGCCTTGTAAAATCATTGAATATGCACAGATGTTGCCAAACGTAGCAATCGGCAAATCCTTGATTAATAAAATTCAGGAAAGGAACCAAAAATCATGTTTACTAAGTCGGAAACAAAAAGTCTGCCGCTGCCCCCCCCCCCTTCAACCGTTCCTTGAGACCGCGCCCTTTCCTTTTCCCTCCTTCATTACCCTACCAATTTCATCTTTGACAACGTCCTTTTTGTAACATCACTAGACACTTACGATCAACTTAATCTCATTGACCCTTATATATTATCATTGACAATGTCACTGTGTTTTGATAAAATACGGTACTGAAAATTATCAAGGGTGATGTAGAAATGAGCACGATTGCTGTGTATTGCTTGAACATTCAATTAAAACAATAATAGTATGTTATTGGATTTTTCTATCTAGAAGTAGATCTTATATGCCTCGTTCGACAGGTTGCAAAAACAGGCTACCAACTTTTCTTTAAAAAAACCCACTTTGATTCTTCTTGATCAAGGAGAAATTAAACAGTAATTAAAGATCGGAAGAATATCTCGTTTGTCAGTGCGTCGATTGCCTTCTCGAACTCTGCCGCAGTTGGTACCTCGTCGAGCTCACAATCGACCTGGCTGAGGGCTTCCTGCTCTGACACAGCGTTCACAGTGGAGTACAAGCTCGAGGTAGTCTTGCCACCTCTTCATCTGTTTCTTCCTGTCAGTGATGACTTAACCACTTTTAGTCTTCAGTGTTGCTGTATTCCTTTTGCGTGGCCCCGTGGCTTGTTTGATGCCCTCGTACATCGTTCCGGCCTGTGCCTGAAGCCCGCTGGATGTCAGAGCAGAGCTCGAGCCGGCATTGGTTGGCAAAGCTCCGGGTTGTCTGCTGGGATTTGGCTCTGGGAGCACGCAGGGCGTTCAGGGTCCTGCTTGTAGCTGACAAAGCCTTCTTTTTTTGCAGCTGTCAGGGCCGGCTCCATCATGGTGAGGTTGGCTTCGTATCTGTCTGCATTTTTCCTTTCCTTCCTCCCATAGGCATCTACTGCTGAGTTGAAGATTGCAGCTGGCATGCCATTCCAGTTTGCTTAATTCTGCATACTCTGGGAAGGATCTGTTCCAAGGTGGAGATGAACTGACGCGTCCTGTCGACATTGGCGGCGTTTCCAACGTTGATACGGGGCATGCATGTGTCTTTGCATTGGTGTAGTGCAACCCCCTTCGTTTCAGGACGCTCTTGCTAAGTACAAGCGAGTGGTCTGTGTCGCAGTCGGCACTGTGGCAACTGCGGATGGACTGTACATTGCCTACAACCGTTCTTCTGGTGATGATGAGATCCAGCTGGTGTCAGCAGTGTCTGACCATAGCTCCATGGTCTGACCAGCAGGCTTTGCGATAGGTTACAAAGAAAGGCAATGCACTTTAAAAAAAAAAACACCTACGTACTTCTTAATCCAGGAGAAATTAAACAGTGATTAACGATCGGAAGAATATCTTTACTCAAGTCATCAAAGAAGGCGGTGTGGCAGCTCTCTAAGTGACAGCCAGACGTGCAGGTTATTGCCTTTTGTCTCTCACTCACTATTTTCGAATTAAAGCTTTCATCCAATCGAAATCGTCTGATTCTGAGTCAAAAGACACTGACTTCAGTGCAGGATATCACTCTGAGCGTCGTTTTCGTGCAGTGAGCATGCTACATGATCAGCAGAGCGTTGCCTCCAAGTTAGGCTTTGTTGCTGGATACATGGGGACTGTTTAACTTAACAGAAAGGGCTACTTTTATTGGCAGTCATTGTGGAAATCTCCTTGATGAAAAACCCCAAAAAGCACGGACGAGAGTGTGCTTGGATGTTGCTCTGGAACACAGGTCTGTCTCCCTAAAAACTCCATCACTATTGTACATTGTATGATCAACAAGTGTCGATTTAGGGCCATGAGTATATTTTGGCCCAAAGAATCCTTCAATTGTTTTGGCCAGCTTTAATTCTATGAACATTGTATCAACAGTATTTAACGACCAAATATTTATCGGACACATCTTTTCCAGCAGCATTATTCCCCAAAATGTCAGCCATGAATTCAACCCAGCAACTCTTTAACAATACGGAGCCAACTACCGGTATAGGAAAGTGGGTTTGCCATTTGTTGATTGCGGAAGGAGTCATTGGTGTCTTGGGAAACCTCTTAGTGTGCTTCGTTGTTTTACGTGTCAAGTTCCTACACACTATGACAAACTATCTGCTGGTGAATTTGGCTGTGGCCGATATGATGGCGTGTCTGGAGAGTATTGTTAATGGTTTAATATATTATGAAGACTGTAAAATAATTGACTATGTGCCCAAAACCTTTGGTGGAAGGTTTTTTTCCTGCCGATTCCTGCAATCTCACTTTCTTGAAATGGCTTTGTCGTATGCATCTGCTTACAATCTCTGTGTGGTAACATTAGAAAGATATGTTGCTTTAGTGCATCCACTACAGTATGCAAGGAAACTCACAGCAACACGGATGAAAACTCTGATTGGTCTAATCTGGGTGATATCATTTCTATTTTCGTTACCACTTTTATTTATATTGAAATCCAGCAATGATCCAGACGGGACTTGCTCAACTATTCAATACCAAGACGATGCATTTCGTAGTTTTGTTCGAGTATATATATCTGTCTCATCATACTTGCTACCACTAACATGGATGAGTTGGGCCTACTACCAGATACAAGTCACTCTCAAAAGACAAGCAAAAGCCCTGAACCTGCAACATGCAAGGGCAGCAGCCTATGATCTTGTGATTGCTAGACAGCGTCTGGTCAGCATGTTAACGATCGTCTTCGGAGCTCTGATCCTCCTGTGGACACCACTTAACATAACTTTTCTTGTCTGCGTGCATGGAGCATATAGAGGTCAAATTCCTTTCTGCGGTTCAAATGGCTTCAAGTACTTCAAAGCAATTGCACATGTCGTGTTTTATTTCAATTCAGTAATTAATCCCATCATCTATGAGTTGAAATACAAGAAATTCCGACAAGGACTCAAGGTAGCTTTTTGTTGCTGTCGCAAAAGCCGTGGAGCTAACACAGTTGACATTGCGATGGTTCCCCTATGAATACAGTCAGCATTGGTTATATTCTACAAGTTTACCATTTCTAAACTATGTAGGATAGAACAGTGTAACATAGTAACTTACCAATCAGCCAGCGCTGATTTATTCCACCATAAGTAAATGTTGCTGCTTGTGTTCAACTTACAAAATTGTTATTAAAACTCCACTTTTTATCATCATTGTCTCAGAAAACTCGGTGAGAAACGAGTTTATGTCTATGGACCTCTATGACAAAACAATATCTGAGGTAACATCTTTAGTCTATTAGTTGCATGCAAGCACTTGCTAAATCTGGTTATATTATATTAATTGTGCGAGGCAATGTCTTGCATTATGTACTGTGTTAGTTTGTCTTACAGTCATCATGTGGACATGTGAACAAAAGATGTCAACCACTCAGCTTTCTATAGGTTTGACGGGCTGGTTTGTTTCTGATATTAAGCAGAAGTTTCTGCAATTAATATGTTATTAGATTTTATATCCGGAAGTAGATCTTGCCTCAGGTTGCAAAGAAAGGCTAAGAAATTTCCTTTAAAAAACACTTTGGTTCTTCATGATCGAGGAGAAATATTAAGCAGTAATTAAAGATCTAAACAAACACTTTATCACACTGACAATATCACAAGACAATACTTTGCATATTCTGCTAGGAGTATATACATTTTTGTCATCATACTTGCTGCCACTTACATTGATGAGTTTGGCCTACTACAAGATACACGTCACTCTCAAAAGACAAGCAAAAGCCCTGAACCTGCAACATGCAAGGGCAGCAGCCTATGATCTTGCGATTGCCAGACAGCGTCTTGTCAGCATGCTTACGATCGTCTTAGGAGCTTTGATCATCCTATGGACACCAGTTAACACAGGTTTTCTTCTCTGCAGAAGCCAATTTCCATTTTGTGATTCAAAAGGCTTCAAGTACTTCAACGCAATTGCACATTCTGTGTTTTATTTCAATTCAGTCATTAATCCCATCATCTATGAGTTTAAATACAAGAAATTCCGACAAGGACTCAAGGTAGCCTTTTGTTGCTGTCGCAAAAGCCATGGAGCTAACACAGTTGACATTGCGATGGTTCCCCTATGAATACAGTCAGCATTGGTTATATTCTACAAGTTCACCATTTCTAAGCTATGTAGGATAGTACAGTGTAGCATAGTAACTTACCAATCAGCCAGCAGTGATTTATTCAACCAATAAGTAAATGTTGCTGCTTGTGTTCAACATATAATATTGTTATTAAAGTTCTTAAAAATCAAACTTTTTATCATCTTCTTCGCAAAAGACTAAAAAGTTGCATTCAAGGACTTGAATATAACATTAATAATGTCCGAGGCAATGTCTTGCATTATTGATTTGTGTGTGTTGGCAGATGTAAATTTTATCATCTGGATATGCCCGTCACATAAATAATTTTATAAACACTGTATGTTTAGTCCATGTTGTTCAAAAGCTTGTAAGAAAGAACATTTACAAGCTCGCTTGATCGGGTGGGACTCACACCCACAACCACCTGCTACAGTTGTGACTCAAGCAGACATCATAAACACTCAACCACTCAGCTTTCTAGGTTAATTTGACCGGCTGGTTTCTGTTATTAAGCAGAAGGTACTGCAGTATTATGTTATTAGATTTTATATCTAGAAGTAGATCTTGCCTCGATCGACAGGTTGCAAAGAAAGGCAATGCACTTTTCTTTAAAACAAAACGTTGATGCTTCTTGATCCTGGAGAATTAAACAGTGATTAAAGATCGGAAGGATATCGCTTTACTCAAAACATCAAAGAGGGCGGTATGGCAGCTCTCTAAGTGACAGCCAGACATGCAGATTATTGCCTTTTGTCTCTCACTCATTAATTTCGGTTGTAACCTTTCATCCAATCAAATCATCCGATTCCGAGTCAAAAGATGCTGACTTCAGTGCAGGATATCACTCTGTGCATCAGAACCAGGTACCCGAGTACCCGACCGCTTATGTCAGGAACCGGTTACAGATGGTGGAATCGAGTACCTGTAACCAACTGTACATTTTAATTAGTAAATTGTCCCAAAATGAAGGGAAAAAAAGGTTTTAAATGTCAGGCTGCATTTTTTTCAATCGGGTATCCAATTCCCTACTACCCGTAAATACACACCCTAGGTTTGAGATATTCCTAATTTAAATTGACAAAATATTCTAGACCAACAATAAAATTGTAGGATAGAAGTGAAGGCTATCATCGTTTGCTTTTTATTTTTTATTTTTTATTTTTTTAAAATTATTTTATTTATTATTTATTATAATTATAACTATTTGAAGGATATTGTGTTAATTTTTCAAAATCTCAATTTGGAATTGCATTAGGGTTACGACATTGTAAGTATGTAAATTTACTTCGTTAAAAATGTATTCGTTTCTGTGCCTTATTTCATAGCCTAACAGTATGCCAAAAAGTTTTGCTAACTATAGCAGAAAATTGGGCTAACCAACAGCACTATTTCACGGCGTGGGTGTGCTAACGGTTACGTATGCATGGAGATTTCTGTTACCCTCAGTAATTTTAAGCAACTTTTTCCTCTGAGGTAACCGTACGTTTTCTGTGCTTACTGCTTATTGTCTGCATGAAATACACAGATGCTCTGTTAGCAGAGAATCATGTGCTTAGCATCAGCCTTGGGCCAAAGGTCATAGCACTACTAAGCACATAATTTCTTGCTAACAAAGCCTCCATCTGTTTCATGGATACCATAAGCAGTAAGCACAGCAAAAGCACGCTTACCTCAGAGGAAAAAGTGGCTTAAATTAGTGATGTTTCATAGTAATCTCCATGCGCGCATCTGTTAGCAAATCCACGCCATGAAATAGTGCTTAAGGTTAGCACAAGTTTCTGCTGTAGTAGGCATTACTTTTCAGCGCCATTAAATTAGCCTAGATTTTTCTTTTTCTTTTTTGCTAACAGATTTACCAAACAATTGACCTCTACTACCTGCATCTGATTATCGAATGAGATAATTTATCTAAGCATCAGTACGATTGATGAGTTTTTGAGCTTTAGCCCTAACCACCTTAGATTAAGATTCCATTCAAAGATGGAAAGTTTTGTCTGTTTTGTCAAGCGTTTTCTTCGTGTAACATGTCAAATTTGTCAATTTAATGTTTTCTTATTTTAGAATGATGTACATGTAGTTTTTATTTTATTCTATTGCATGAGTTAGTCTGTGACGATTACTGCTACAGACATGCATGCATTTCATTACATCAACTTGTACAGAAAAAAATAACAAAATGTAAAAACAAAAACAATGAAAAAAATGCATGGTTTAGAGTTGTGTCAAATGCAACTGAATATTTTGTCGCAGAAAAATATAATATTATTTGCAATCTTGGAAATATGCTTAGCCCGGGGATGAGTCAAGCACTAGGACAAGCGAGCTATGTACAGTTCCAAAAATTAGTTTGTGTAAATTTGAATGCTTTATGTTCGGGCATCAAAGAAACTTTAAAAAAGGTTCCTAAGTCGTTCAAACAAAGGTGTACATATGAATAACTTGTTCGGTTTTATCTCTCACCCCAAAATGTAAAAAAGGAGTAAAAAGTGAAAGCCGAAAGCTTGTGCCACCAGATAGTTCATCCTTTGACGGAAATAAAACTATGTTTGTAGCCAAAAAACTGACTTATAGCAAAATGTGTGTCTTGCGGTTCATTTAATTTATTATTTTCTTTTACTCATTTTTCTTTTAAAAACATTATAAAGGAAATAAGTGTGTGCTTTGCCAGGGTGACCAGATGACGATCGCACAATTCTCCTGGATGCACTTCAAAATTCTCCTAGATTGTTTTTTTTTAATCCGTCAGACCTAGCAGTAAATCTGCTAAAACGGTCACCCTGGCTTGGCCGGTTCGAAACACCATGTTTAAGACCAATTTGGAGTCTGGAAGCTGATGGCTAGGGTCCAGACTCCAAACTCCAAACCGGTCTTAAACATGGTGTTTAATACCGGCCCAGCACATATTCCATTCAAAAATACCTTTTCGGTCAAAACAATAAAAACGTTTCGGTCCAAATGTCAACAAAAGTCAAAAGTTAAAAACGATTTTGTTCAACCATTTTACTTCATGTTTTTCGGAATGCCCCTCTAGCTATGTAATGTTATGTAAACAATACCTTATGTTATGAGGAAATTGGCGCAAGCGTCGCGCGTACTGCAAGATATGGCGCAGAACGCAGCTGTGCCGGTGTGGTGTGAATTTAGGACAATGAAAAACTGACTCACTTGTAGTATTGTGCATGCCTTCGACGGTAAAGATTGTTAACGTTCAACCAATAAAACGGTAAAAGGCACCGGACTTCATATGAGTCCAAATTTCATGTGACACAAGAAAAGAGTTTAAGCCCAGCCAGCCGGTTTTTATTAACTGTTTAAGACCGGCCACGTGACGGGCTTTCGACCAATGGGAATGGGTAAACTGTCTTAGATATTTATGAATTGTGTTTAAATATAGAAGTTTCCGGGGGGTTGGCGATTTCTCGCTACATTTTCAGGCAATACCAAAATGATATAAGTTCAAATTTACTCGAAAAGGCTTTTTTTTAATCATTGAATATGCACAGATGTTGCCAAACGTAGCAATCGGCAAATCTTTGATTAATAATATTCAGGAAAGGAACCAACAATCATGTTTACTAAGTCGGAGACAAGAATGTCTGATGCTACCCCCACCCCCATCGTTCCTTGAGACCCCGCCCCTTCCTTTTCCATACCAATTTCATCCCCGACAACGTCCTTGCACTCTCAGAACAAAATACACAAGTTGTGTTAAATTTAAATATGTGTAACCCATGGTTCACATTTCAAAATAACAGGAACCACATTTTATATTAATTTAACTCCCTTTTGAAAAAAACTCTTGACTTCCGAGCAATTCAGGATTTACGTACACAATGAAATATGTTTTATTGCTGGAAATAAAATGATCTCAAGCAATGGCAATACACATGAAAATGCAATGAAGTTAAATATCAATTCAAAGAAAACACAGGATCCTGTAAAATTTAGAATACAAAGATAGGGCTCATAAAACAAGGCGCCAAGACTATAAGTACTAATGAAATCGCGACGCGTCCGTCCTTGGTAGATCGCAGTCCATCATGGTAGAGAAGTTGAAGAGTATGCAGAACGATGTGATGAAGTAGACTAGTTGACGAAAAGTTCAATTGAAGACAGGGGTGGAAATGACGACTCTCGTCATTTGTCGATCCAGTGAAACAAAAGTATACTGGCGGGTCTTGAAAGGTGATGTGGCTGTGTCTTGGGCGAGATGCTGGTGGCTGTGTCTAGGGTAGAGCTGGGTCACTCGGACGTCTCGGGCTTGGACGTCGAGGATAGTGATGGGCCTCCGACTCACTGGAGCAGGTAATAGGGTGTCAGGCAGGCAGATCGGGGAACACTCAGATGGCCCCGTCTAGTCTTCCTTTGAAGCGACACGGTCGAGTTGTCTTAGCCTAAAACAGAGAGCCAACATTCGTGCAAAAAGGACGGAACTTGGAATCAGGATCTTCCATTCGAACAACAACTTTGTGTAACACAGCGGATAAAATGGCAGGCATGC